TGTGGTGCGGTTCTTGTGCAAATCACATGCGGTATGCCACACCGCACAAGGGACTTTTTTTAACATAAAACTTCTATAAACATCAATGGGAATGCTGCAGAAAAGCATGCATTGTGTTTTGTTGCGTTTTTGATGTGTTTTGCATTTAAAATCTGCCTAGCAACAAGAAAAAAAAATCGCAAAACGCATCAAAAACGGCAGTGCAAAAAATCAAAACGCATCAAACGCAACCTGGGTTATGACTTAGCCTAAAAAGTGATGTGTTTGGATCGCTCTTTAGAGAGCCTTTGACAGACGGTGAGCTGGTGACCTATCCCCCCAGCTGCCTGTCAACCACTTTCTAAATAAACATCGATCCACCACTGTGCATTTCTTTTCAGATGGTCAGCAAGGGACCTTGGTGTTCATAGTTAGACATTTTTCCGACAAAAGCTCCTGTGGACATGACTTTGGAAAGCATTGAAGGAAAATGTCACTGCTTCTAAAAACTGGATTTTATTTAGTTACTAAGAGGAACATATTGCTTCTTTCTTCCTGGTTCGGGTTGTTAATAAAGCTTGTACAAAAAAAAGCATCTTGATATTGCCGGGGAGCGCAGTGTGAACTTTCACCTGGTGTGATGACTTCCGGGGGCGGGGTGGAAACACGTGTGTGCTGAGGGTGAGTGTATAACGGGGACGGGGGCTGTATGGAGGGAAGGAATAGCTGGAGGACCGGGAATATTTTACCGGGAAGGAGCCGGATATGTGTAGCAGACCGAGCTGTCCCTTGTAGTTCCACACCCTGACCAGTAGAGAGAGTCAGAACACAGAGCCTGTCAGTCATGGTATAAAATAGAGCCATAGGTAAATTGGGGAGATTTTACTTCCTGTCCCATAGCCAAAACAGGAAGTGGGAGGAAATCCCTGCCAATGAAGGGAATCACTTGGGGACCCCCCAGGTCACCATAACTAGTGTCTCCTTTGGAAGATTTACCCTTTTTTACTTTCACTTTCAACCTGGGTTCACACGCAGTGCGGCATATTTCATGTGATTTGCACAGGGACCGCATTTCTCTGTAAATCACATGGGAATTCTGTGTGTTGCGATTTGAGCCATACGTTTTGTGTGGCTGAGTTTGCACTGATTCCGCACCAAAAAGGTGCAGGACCCCTTTTTTTTTTTGTGTCTGCACTAGAATCGGATTGCATGGTAGTCACACCCATGCGATCCGATTCTGCACATCGCACTGTGTTTTACAAACTGATTTCGGAGTGTTAGCTTCACATACACACCCGCAGTGGTTCGCATTAATGGGGTGCGATTGTGATTCATCAGTGTGAACCCAGGCTCAATGATATTGGGAAACAGGACAAATAGAATCTCCCTGCCGGGGACACGGAGAGCAATAAAACCTGACGGGTTGTAATCCATCTCCAATCCATCCAAAAAAAGTTTATCCTTTAGTTAGCTGTTAATGGGATAAATTAGCACCAACGTCTTTTTAATTTCAGATACAGTAATGGAGGGTTATAACAACCGCCAGGCTTTTTTTTGCGATGTGTCCCATTGGGGAGATTTCCCTTCACTTTTTGTTCCATCGCCAAAACAGGAAGTGAGAGGAAATCCCTGCCAATAAAGGGAATCCCTTGGGGACCCCCCCAGGTCACCAGAACTAGTGTCCACGTTGAAAGATTTCTCCTCTATTACTTTTTTTACTTTCACTTTCAGCCTGGGTTCACACTTATGCAGTGCAGCATACTGCATGTGATTTGCACAGGAACCGCACCACATTCCTCTGCAGATCACATGGGAGTTCTGTGCGGTGCGATTTGAGCCATACACAGGAAGTGTTTGAGAGAGAGAAAAATCCCTCCAAAGTGAGGGAATCCCTGAACTGGTGTCCCCATTGGAAGATTTTCCCTCTCTTCCTGTTCTGGTGACAACTCAGTATTTTGGGTTATTTTTCATGTTAGGCCTCATGCACTCTGGATGTTATTAAAACATGTCCCCATTGGATGATTTTACTTCTATTACTTTTTTTTTTTTACTTTCACTTTCAGCCTGCGTTCACACTTATGTTCACACTTTCCTTTCACTTTAGGCCTCATGCACTCTGGGTGTTATAAAAACGCCAATGGCATTCGCTGTAGAATGCTGCATTAAAAAGTGCATTTTTTAGCGTTTTTGCATTAGCTTTTTTTTCGTAGTTTTTTTTTTTTTTTTTTTTTTTTAGTGTTTTTTTTGTGTTTATTTTAGCAAAATTATACTCTTACAAAATCTTCTGGCTCATAAACGCCGGATAGCCGTGTTTTTTAGTGTTTTTCAGCTTTTATCAGCGTTGGAGCATTTTTACAGCTAAAAAACTCCTCTTGAAACCCACTAGTTCTGAGGTTTTTTTCCAGCCAGAAAATGCTGATTAACCACTTGCCCTCCTGAGGATTTACCCCCACCCCCCCCTTCCTGACCAGGCCTTTTTTTGCTTTCGGCACTGCACTAATTCAACTGATAATCGCGTGGTGATGCAATGCTGTACATAAACAAAATTTCCGTCCCTTTTTTTTTTTTTTTTTTTTTTTTTACACAAATAGAGCTTTCTTTTGATCACCTGTGTGCTTTTTTATTTTTTGCGCTATAAACAAAAAAAGACCGAAAATTTTGAAAAAAAAAAACCCCCATATTTTTTTACTTTCGACTATAAAAAAAAAATATACAGTCAGGTCCATAAATATTGGGACATGGACACAATTCTACCATTTTTGGCTCTATACACCACCACAATGGATTTGAAATGAAACAAAAAAGATGTGCTTTAACTGCAGGCTGTCCGCTTTAATTTGAGGGTATTTACATCCAAATCAGGTGAACGGTGTAGGAATTACAACAGTTTGCATATGTGCCTCCCACTTGTTAAGGGACCAAAAGTAATGGGACAATTGGCTTCTCAGCTGTTCCATGGCCAGGTGTGTGTTATTCCCTCATTCTGATCTTGTTCGCCAAAAACAGGCAGATGGGGATCTGTTCCCCATCCATCCAGCGGATCAGATGACAGTTGGGTGGAAACTGACAGGTGGTTGGTTTCCATCCGACCGCCCCATAGGAAAAAGCAGGTTTTGTCTGTGTCCACCCTGCAGTGGACCTGTCTTCCGCTTGCTAAGTGGGGCTCAGCAGAGAGATTCCCTGCTTAGCAAACTGATCCACTGGCGGTTTGCCCCATCTGAAAGGGGCCTAAAGGCCAGTTTACACTAGAACGTGTGCAATCCCATGCGGTGCGATTCAACCATTCATTTGAATGTGCTGCCAAATGCACTGGAACATTAAAAAAAAAAAAAAAAAAAAAAGTAGCACTTGTATTACTTTTTTAAACACTCCACCCCAAACTGCATGCCAAATAACCTTTAAGAGCACTAAGTGTCATTTCTGTTTGTTGCACGAATCACTTCTGACAAATTTTCCTGACCCCTAGAGAATGAGAAAAATAGTGACAGGGGAGGGACCTCCAGCTGATTTGACGGCCTCAGCTCTGTTCCTATGAGCTCTGAGGAGGTGTGTGTTCCTTCCCTCCAATCAGCTGTCAAATCTCACTGAGCTCTGCATAGTGTAACTTCAGCTCTCCGCCCCCTTTTTGTTCTGAACTCTCAGACAAGCTTTATAAATTCAACACTTTGCGCGGATGTAGAGAAGAGGAGACTGAAGATAAACCGGTACAGCTTATGTAGGAGGATTTTTTCACATCTGAGGCCAGTCCCTTCACTGAGTATATGTCAGGGTTTACACCCACTTTAACCACTTGAAGACCACCCTATAGCACCTTTACTGCTACAGGTGGTGTGTGTGTTTGCACTTCTGCCATAGGGGGCGCATGCTTGCCACTGGCAGCTCACTTCTGCTCTGGGAATTCACAGCAGGAGCCGATCTGTGACTGCTGGCGAATGTATGTTCGCTGGCACCCACTGTTCATCTGGCAGGAGAATGAACAGAGCTCTGCCTATGTAAACAAACAGAGCTCTGTTCTGACAGGTGGTGAACTGAAGGATCTGTTCCTCTGCAAAGCTGGGAACACAATCCTTTTAGTTCCTATAATAACAGCGTCACCTAGTATACACCAAGCACATAGCTAGGCACACTTTTAACCCTTTGCTTGTCCTAGATGTTAACCCCTTCCTAACCTGTGTCATTAGTATAGTGGTCAGTGTATATTTTTTAGCAATGATCACTGTATTAGTGTCACTGGTTCCCACAAAGTGTCAGTGTAAAAATGTCTGCAGCAATATCGCAGTCCCGTTGCAAGTCGCCGACCGCTGCCATTACTAGTATAAAAAAAAAAAAATTATTAAAATTCCAGTATATGTCCCATAGTTTGTAGACACTATAACTTTTGAGCAAACTAATCACTATACACTTATTGGGATTTTTTTACCAAAAATATGTAGCGGAATACATTTTGGCCTACATATATGAAGAAACTTGATGTCTTAATTTTTTTTTTTTTTTTTTTTTTTATTGGAAAGGTTTTATAATAGAAAATAAAAGAAATTATTATTTTTTTTTTTCAAAATTGTTAGTCTTTTTTGACTATAACGCAAAGTAAAAACCACAGAGGTGATCAAATACCACCAAAAGAAAAGACATAAAATTTCATTTATATACAGCATTGCAAGTGGTTAATTGGACCCCAGTGCACATATACTGTAAGTGGGGAGAAATGAGCATGCCTGCTCTACGGCACAATACACAGATGTGCAGATGCTATTGTTTTGTACCTTGGGGTGACCAGCACAATGTGAACATTCATATGGCCAGAGCAAGCCTCCAGTTTTGATTGTACATTAACAGTGTGACTTCTTAGATTTTATATTGGTCATATGAGCAATAACCAAACTGTAGGCACAAATTCTTGTCTATAGATAAAATTATATATGTATCTGTTTTTTCCTATAGAGTGTCCGTCCAGTCCTCGTGAACCCTTCAAATACATAGCACTGGGAGAAACTTTTTGAAAAGACACCTTTCTAAAAAAAATGTCTGGCTATTTGACTGCAGATCATCATGTTAAAAAGAAGAAATGCAAAATGGGTAATAGTTTGCTGTATTTGTAAATGTGCAAAAGACAAAGAAGCAGCAGCAATATGCAGATAATGATTTTTCTCTGAGAAGATGCAGGATTTACATGATCTTCTTTCACAGGGTGGCCTGTTACATTAAAGTAGAACTATAGGCAAAACTTTTTTCCATTTTTGATTGTGTGTGTGTTGGGTTAAACCCATGTCAGGTTTTTTTTTTTTTTTTTGTTGTTTTTTTTTTCTGAGAAAATTTACTTCCATTTCCTGTCCCATAGCCAAGTGAGGGGGATTCCCTAAAAATTAAAGGAATCCCTTGGTGCCCCCAGGTCACCAGAACTAGTGTCCCCATTGGAAGATTCCTCATTTATTAATCTCCTGGGGACAACCTGGCAGGGGTTATAAGCCCTATCCACTTTATCTCAAACAAAAAATCTTACCTTTAATTACTTTGAATTTTCAAGTACGTTATGGCCACCTTCACTGTACAGCTACAGTATAAGTCAACACTATCCTGTGTCCTCTAATATAAAACAAAATCCTGTTATCTTGCAGCTTTCCAGTCTTTAGTTGAAGTTGCTGCATTAGTTTTTTTTTCTCCCAGGCTTTTTTTCCTTTGTTTTTACTTGGTAATCCTGCAGATAACACATTTCCTGTCCATAGGCTGGTGTGCTCACTTTCTTCACTGTATCTGTGCAGGGAGCCATGGTTGTCGCCTAAACTGGACTGCAAGCATGTCTTACTCTTGCCTCCATTACATGGGTGCTGGGGGATTAGTAGTTTTAGAATTAAGACTACAGTATGTGTGTATTTATATAATATAATGTAAGTATGCGTGCTGGGACACAGACGCTTTTTAGGTTGTCCCATGCAGATATCCATCAGCTCAGGATCTGCAGATATGAGTACACTCACATCTGACTTCTTTACAGCCCTGACAGATTACATGTTACAATGCAGAGAATCACAAAGAAGGTGAGTAATGGAAGACTTCCTCTGCTGGTTTTCTGAAAAGTGACAGTACAGACTATGGGAGGGGTGAGCTGTTCTCATATCTGTGGGTTCTAGTCCAGACATTGGTCTGGATGGATACAGCACAGGGGCTGCCCCCAACCCACTCCACCATTGCATCTGGCTTTGCTTCTGCAACCCCAGACTACCTCCAAGCTGCCTGTAACTGGGGCACTCAACCCCCACCCCATCAAGGTGTGTCACTGATTGTGTACCATATACCTTTAAGAGCTTATACAAAACAAATCCTTTACTATTATGGGTGCCTTTTTAAATATATATCTGAAGTATATATTCACAAAATAATCCGTGTATACATATTCAGGGGTTGGACAAAAATATGGAAACCATTACAGTCTGCAGGTGTGAAAGCGACAACATGTTTCACGTTGAAAGTGGATGTGATGTAACTTTCTTTTTCTTCCGCTATGTGATGAGACCCCTAGCTAACAGGTAGGAAGCCTCACTATTCACTGCGCGCGCTGTAAGTAATATGGGAGTCATGTCAGAACTTACTGAGCTTCACAGAGGGCAAATTGTGGGTGCGGCTTAGTTGGTGCCTCTGTGACTGAAGTTGCTAATTTATTTTCGGTGTCACAAAGTACAGTATCAAAGGTTATGACTGCATATACAATTTCTGGGAAAACATCGTCTGATAAGCAATAAGCGTGGTCGACATGAACAACTGATCAAAAGAGACAAAAGGACATTGCGCAGGATTGTGACCCGGAAGAAGAAAACAACTGCTGTAAGAGTGACTGCAGAGCTCAATCTCAGTCTTCCAAAGCCCATGTCTACAAAAACTGTGCGGAGGGAACTCCATAAGCAAAACATTCACAGGTGAGCTGCAAGTGCCTCTTTCGGTCAGTTGTTCATGTCGACCGCAGTTACGCTTATCAGACTGACTATGTTTTCCCAGAAACTGTATATGCTGTCATAACCTTTGATACTGTACCTCACGACATGGCAAATAAATTGTCAACTTGGGTCACAGAGGCACCAACAATTTGCCCTCTTTGAAGCTCAGTTAGCTCTGACATGACTCCATATTGGCAGCGCATGCAGTGGATGACAAAAGTGAGGCTTCTCACCCGTTTGGCTAGGTGTCTCCTCACACAGCGAAAGAAAGATTGTTACATCACTTCTGCTACGCAAAACATGTTGTCGCTTTCACACCTGCAAACCATGTAGTGTTTCTAATTTTTTTGTCAAACCCCTGTAAATGTTTTATATATGCTTTTTAGATTTTGCTTTGTTTGGCCACCTGTAGCAAAGTTACCCAGGTATGAGAGGCCGTGGGGTTGATTTACTAAAACTGGAGAGTTAAAATCTGGTGCAGCTCTGCATAGAAACCAGTCAGCTTCCAGGTTTTATTGTCAGTTTAATTGAACAAGCTGAAGTTAGGAGCTTATTGGCTACCATGCTCAGCTGCACCAGATTTTGCACTCTCCAAATTTAGTAAATCAACCCCCATGGGTTTCTCTCTCTCCCCATACACTAACAATACACGGCTGAGCGACTACACGGTTGTTCACCGGACATGTGCACTGTCACGTAGGGGTGGGAGAGAGTGCTTTGCCTGTATAAGCTGCTACTGAGGCTGTGGTTGTTAAAGCAAAGCTGTTCTCCATGCAGGGCAAAGTAGCAGGTTCACATAAAGGTATCATGTATACAAGCAGAGAAAAATGCTGCTTTTAGAGGCATTTTTTTAATTTGTACGCCTCTGAATGCCAATATGTCCATGAAAATTTGGGCATTTAGGCTTGTTTTTTTAGAGCAGTGTGCAGAAGAATAAAAAAAAAAAGAGGAAAGATCCAGCATAGATTGCAGTATTTCAATAGGCCTGTGTGCTTGCAGTCTAATGTAGACCTCCATGGATTTGTATACTTACTGTCCTTTCATTCCTTCACTGCTCTATTCAGCTGCTAGATGCATGCTATGGATCTGCGGTGATTGGGCCAGTGCTGTCCCAAACAGGGAGTCAGCTGTTCCTCCGTTGTCTAGTTTTGAGTATTTACTTATTCATGGCCAAATATATTGGCACCTCTGCATTTCTGACAGATAATGCACCACTTCACCCATAAAATTGTTGCAATTACCAATGTTTAGGCATTCTCATGTCCATTTCTTTTTTCTACTTGTATGATACAAAAAAAGCGGAGAAACAAAAAGCCAAATCTGATACATTTCACACAAAACTCCAAAAATGGACTAGACTAAACTGGCACCTTCTCAAAATTGTAACAAATTACAGGAGCATCACAAATTGTAATCCAATTATTTATAAGTAAACTGCCCTGTATCAATTAACAGATGCTGACAATATAGAAATCACACCGACAACCAGTTAAAATGGTGAAAAATTATCTCAACCTTTCTGTTTGTCTCTGTGTGCTGCACGGAGAAGAGAGAGCAGCAAAAAATTGTCTGAGGATTTGAGAACAAATTGTGGAAAAGCATGAACAATCTCAAGGTTATAAGTCCATCTCCAGAGATCTTAATGTTCCTGTGTCCACTGTGCGCAATATTGTCAAGACGTTTACAGTCCATGTTGCTGTAGCTAATTTCCCTAGACGTGGACGAAAGAGAAAAATTGATCAAAGATTGCAACAAAGCATTGTTCAAATGGTGGCTAAATAACCTCAATCAACTTCCAAATTCAAGATGACCTTCAGGCACAGGGTACAACTGTGTCAGCTCGCACTATACATCGCCATCTGAATGAAAAGGGATGCTATGGTAGGAGACCCAGGAGGACCCCACTGCTGACACAGAAACATAAAACCAGATTGGAGTTTGCTAAACTTACCTGAGGAAGCCAAAATCCTTTTGGGAGAATGTGCTGTAGAAAGACGAAACAAAATTACAGCTTTTTGGTAAAGCCCATCATTCTGCTTTTTTCAGAAAAAGAAATGAGGCCTTTAACCTCCCTGGCTGTATTCCCGAATGTAGCCCGGGGTAAAGTTTCAGTGCCAAAAGCGGTATCCCCGAGCTACACTCGGGAATACCATGCAGTGTTGCTCAGGGATTCCCTGCAGCACTTACCTTGTCCTGCGCTCCCGTGATGTGTCCCCTGCAGCGTCCCCAGCCATCTCCTCCGGCCGATGCCGGCTTACGGGTTTCGGTCCCTGCGAGCGTCGGGACGTATGGGGGATTTGAAAATTTAAAAAAATTAACATTCACAAAATACACTAAAATAACATAGTAAAACATTATTGTATCAAACCATTTCACATACATTTTGTCCTGAGTGCTTTGTCCTGTGCCCTGCCTGCATTTTTACTGTTCTTTCTGCCGGGAAACTGAGAAAAGTCCATGGCGTCCAAAAAGCGTCCCTTTTTGGTCAAAAGAGTTTTTAGACCAGCTAGAGAACAGGGATAGTAAATTAGAACTACTCGCAGAATTGAGTGATAATGATATGTGGGGAAAGTCGTCATCAGACACTGAAAACGATTCTGCGACTGAGCTCAGCGATGTGCGATGCGCTCTATTTCAAATTTCAGTGTTTTTGGTTTGATTATATTATTGAATTAAATTTATTATATTTTTTTATGATTATTATATTATAATTTATGATTTTGTGTTTCAAGTTTTATTATACCCGGGATGTTTACTAGACTCTTGTTTGGACAGATTTCAGTGAGTTATTCCTAAAAATTACAGGCCTACAATAAGATGTATTTCCATGCAAAAAGAATTACCGCTTTCAGCACAGAAATATGGACATAATCATACCGCTAGGGAGGTTAAAGAAAAGAATACAGTCCCTACAGTCAAACATGGTGGAGGTTCCCTGATGTTTTGAGGTTGCTTTGCTGCTTCAGGCACTGGATGTCTTGAGCGTGTGCATGGCATTATGAAATCTGAAGACTACCAAAGGATTCTGGGGTGCAATGTAGGGTCAAGTGTCAGAAAGTTGGGTGTCCATTAGAGGTCAGCAAGACAGTGACCCAAAGCACACGTCAAAAATAGTTTGACAAAGTGTTGAGTACTGAACAGAACAGCAATAAATCCAGATCTCAATCCCATAGAGCACCTGTGGAGAGAACAGCAGTTGGAAAAAGGAACCCTTCCAATCTGAGCAGTTGGCAAAAGAAGAGTTCTCCAAAATTCAAGTACAGAGGTGGAAAAAACTCATTGATGGTTACAGCAAGCAATTGATTTCAATTATTTTTTCCAAGGGGTGTGCAACCAAATATGAATTTGAAGGTGCCAATAATTGTCCCGCCCATTTTAATATTTGAGGGTGCCAATAACTTTGTCCAGTGCATTTTTGGAGTTTTTTGCGTGGAATGTGTCAGATTTGGTTATTTGTTCACATTTTTCTGTCATACCAGTAGAAACAAAATTTGTAATTGCAACAATTTCTGGGCAAAGTGGCGCATTATATGACAGAAATGCAGGGTGCCAATATTTTTGGCCATGTCTGTATGTCTCTAAAGTGCTAAACAGTAAGGTATGTATATAGTGCTGCAGACTGGGGGAGGATTAAAGCAAACCTGTTGTCATCCCTGCATAGATTCACCCTAAAACTGAAGTTTCTCATTAAGGGCTCATTCACACTGGTACTTTTCTGTTAACTTCTCCTGTGTTTAGAAAAAGTAATCTGGAAAGTAGAAAAAGTTCTTATGTCTCCCAGATCACTTTTCCTAGATATTCCTGCTTTAAGCCATTTTTAATGGCATTTACATGCCTTTTAGTTTTGTTCTCATTTACACATAGGTACGGATCAGTACACCTATGCTATGTGCCGTGTTATGTGCATTCATAAGAGTTTAGAAATCTAAACATTGGTTTGACATCAACAGTGTGAATGAGGCCTTAGATGCTCTGTTTGTGTTGAGTTTGAAAAAAACTTGAGCTGAACAATAAATGTCTTGCTAATCATTCCAGGAGATCCATCGCTCTCAGATAGTGTCCTTTATGCTGAACACTCCGAATTAGAAGGGTCCAGGAAAAAGAAGAAAAACAAACATAGGAGTACAGATAATGAGACCTTATTGGAAGATAGCTGCTTAGATAACCTCTCACCATCTTACAGCAGTAGCAAATTTAAAGAGCAAGAGGACAATTTAGAGCAGGAGTTGTCAAACCAGGACTATAATTTCAACACTCCAAAGTCTCCTAAAAAGAGAAAGAAAAAGAAACGTATAGAAATGTCTGTGGAGAAGGCTCTAGAGGAGACAGGTCATACTGGTCATTCAAGCTTGTATGATGGTAATAGTCATTCCAGTGAAGTGGCTGTTTCTGAGGAAGTCCTCCATAGTGAATATGTAAGAAAAAAGAAAAAGAGGCATAGAACCCCAGAGAACAGAAACTTGGAGGAAGATGTTTTAGAAGATGTACAAGAAACCTCCTCAATAGTCATGGGAAATATTGATATGGAAAAATCTGTTAAAAAAAAAAAAAAACACAAATCTAACAAATTTTTGGAGGAAGAAAATTTGAGTCATGATTTCCATCAATCTATTAAAACCAGCAGTCAGTGTCAGGTTGCCTCTAAGAAATCTAGACATAAGTGCAATGAAGTTTCTGTGGAGGAGGCTGTAGAGGAGACGGCTCATACAAGCTTGTACGATGGTAATGGTCATTCCAGTGAAGTGGCTGTTTCTGAGAGAGTCCTCCATAGTGAATCTGTAAGAAAAAAGAAAAAGAGGCATAGACCCCCAGAAAACAGAAGCATGGAGGAAGATGTTTTAGAAGACGTGCAAGAAACATTCTCAAAAGTCATGGAAAATGTAGATATTGATGTGGAACATTCTGTAAGAAAAAAGAAAAAAAAGCACAAGCATAAAGAATTTTTGGAAGAAGAAAATTTGAGTCATGACTCCCAACAATCTGTTAAACTGAGCAGTCAATGTCAGGTTGCCTCTAAGAAATCTAGACAGAAGGGTATTGATGTATTTGTGGCAGAGACAAGTCATACTGGCCAACCAAGCTTGTGTGATGGTCACGATCATCCTGACGAAATGACTGTCTCTGAGGAAGTCCTCCTTGGTGAATCTGTAAGAAAAAAGAAAAAGAGGCATGGACACCCAGAGTCCAGAAGCCTGAAGGAAGATGTTTTAGAAGACATAAAAGAAACATCCCCACTAGCTATTGTGAATGAAGATTCTAATGTGGAAAAATCTTTAAGAAAAAAGAAAAAAAAACACAAATATGAAATTCTAGAAAAAGAAAATTTGAGCGATGACATCCAACAAGCTGTTGAACTAAGTAACCAGTATCAGGGTTGCCTCTAAGAAATCTAGGCAGAAGAGAAAGTCGTCTGTGGAAGAGACAGATCATACTGGCCAACCAAGCTTGTATAATGGTCATTCTGATGAAGTGGCAGTCTTTGGGGAAGCCCTTCCTAGTGAATCTGTAAGAAAAAAGAGAAAGAGGCATAGATCTTCTGGAGCAGAAAGTACTTTCAATGCTGAAAGGGAACCCAAAACATTTGGCTGTCTGAGCCCAAAAGACAGAAATGTTGAAAATGAGACTGTGACAGAAGATATGTCCTTTATGGAAACGACAGATCTAGAAAGTTCTGTGCGAAAGAAGAAAAAAAAGAAGCATTGGACTAAGGAGACTGATAGTCAGACAGAAAGTAGTATATGTAAATCTTTCAAAAAGGATACCAGTCCAAAAACAAATAGTGACAATGATGTGGTGGCTGAGGGATCTGAAAATGAGCAGAGGGGCGAAAATTTAGATCCAATTGAGAACATCACGGAGGCAACAAATAGCAAGACAGATGCTAAAAATGCAGGTACTCGAGCGAAGCGCAAGAAGTCTGTAAAGCTTGAGATATCAGATGAAAACCAGGATCAAGATGTGCCTGCAGAGTTGGAAGAATCGGACAAAAATCAGGTGGAAAATACTCTTGGCGAGGAAGACAGTGTCCCGAGGAAAAATAAAGTCGATCGGTAAGAGATTTATGTTCTGCTTCTTAAAGTGAACCCATGCTTTTCCCATGCAGGGCAAATGAACAGGTTACAGCTTTAAAGTGATACTAAAGCTTCACTTATTTTTTTCATTAAAATAACAAACGTGTTATAGTTACCTGCTCTGTGCAGTGGTTTTGCACAGAGCAGTCCAGATTCTCCTTTTCTCAGGTTCTCTGCTGGAGATTCTGGCTCCTCCCCCCACCAAGTGCCCACCATAGGAAACAGCTCCCTATGGGAATACTCATGGCGGCTTGGCCCCACACCCTGCTCTCTGCTACTAGGGTTTTGACTGACAGCAGCAGGAACCAATTGCTTCCGCTGCTTCCAGCCAAGCCTGTGAGACCTGGGAGACCGGAGAGGAGATTGTGCAGACAACACTGGACTGAGATCGGGCCCAGGTGAGTATTTAGGGGGAAATGCATATAAAGGTTTTTTTTTTTTTACTTTAATTCAGAGAATGCTTTAAGGTAAAAAACCTTTTACTTTTATAACCACTTTAAAGCCCCCTTCTTGGCAGCATTTGATTTTTGTCCCTTGACCTCTCCGCTCAGTCATAGGAAGACATAAAACTTTGAGTTGCTCTGGTGAGCGTTAGTGTATATTGACCTAAAATTAAACTAAACCCACTGATTTAATTGCTTCCCAACTGATTCCCTTGAATGATGAATAGTGTGCCTATGTTGGCTGTCAACCAATCTGTCAAGCCTTCGAATGGCTGGTGTCATACCTGACAACGTGCAGCACCATGGCAACTGAAGATCAAACCAAGGCTAAGAAGGCAGTTTTTCATGTCTATAAAGGAGATAGGAGGGTTTAACTGGTTTAGCTCCATCCAATAGCAGGATTACCGCTACAGGGCAAACTCTCTGTGCAAAATCACGTGTATAAATACATGATTCGCGCTTTCACCATGATCGCGTGCCAGGGGCGTGTGCCCGCCAGTGCCGTGGTACGGTGCCCGACCAATCGGCAGATTCAGGCCAGTGATGTTCGGCATGGATCTGCTGGTTGATCCCTACCCTATCACAGATCTTCCTGTACCTGTGTTTTTACATTTACACAGGAAATGATACAATCTTCTCTTCCTGGGCACATTCCGTTCCAGAGAGAGAAGAAATCCAATCTATGTGAGTAAAAACGGCACACTTTTACAGTAAAATCACTGATCACATCAAAGGTCACATTTAACCCCCTGATCGCCCCCCAGTTAACCCCCTTCACTGCCCAGTCACCAGTGTCATTATTACAGTGTACAGGTCTTTTTTACTGTTCACTGTATTAGTGTCACCAGCGACTTCAGATAGCGTTCGTTTCCCTCCCAGATGGCGTCAGATTGCCTGTCACTACATTAGTCCTTTTAACCCTTTGCCAGGAACATGCTCATACTCACAATAAATCTCCATTGCTAGTATAGTGTCTGAACGGATCAATTTTTTATCAGATCAGAACTATACCAGTGCTCACAAAAATAGTGTCCCAAAAAATGCAGCATTAGCAGGATCAGCCTCGCCACCTGCCAGTACCAGCGTTTAGCCCCTACGCTTAACCACCCCTTCCTCAGCAAGTGCAGTAGATCACTGTCACTTGATACATTGTGCACAAAAACAGAATCAGGCCTGATGTCTGCTAGCACTTGCAGGTACATTTTTTTTTTTTTTTTTTTTTTTTTTTTTTTTAGAGGTTCAAGCAGTCCCTGACAGCCAGGTGCTCTTTTTCCTGTGAATCGCCCTAGGTACCTATAAAGTTAGTGGCCAAAATGTCCAACGAAGGTACTCTAGTGAAGAGGCCTACAGGATTCTGCCTCACCGACAGAATCTGTCTCAGAATACAAACCTAGACAGCAGCGGCGCTCTGACAGATAGCTCAGACGATGGAGAAGAGGTCCCTGCTAAGCTCAGGCATACCCGACCCCATTCCCAGGTTGCTGAGGTGGTACAATTGCATGATGATTCTCATATGCAGCAGAGTGCCAGTACTAGTGCCGCTCTATCTTTTGGTGAACTGGCGAGCACCAGCGGCCTAGTACATCCTGGTCTTATACATACCAGCACTGCAGTATCATTTGGTGACGTGGCGAGTCCCATAAGTGCAGTACAAGCTGGTGCGGTAGCAAGCACAAGTAGTGCCCTGCAGCCACCAAAAATTTGAACACAGGCCATAGAGCCTATAGTGTGCTTCTGGATGTGCTTGCAAATTTTGATTGGCAGCCAACAAATTCTGCAGCACCTGTACTTTTTATCATTTGCTGCCCAACCCGGAATTCAGGTGGAAACAGCAAATTTAACTACTCCTCTTGATTTTTCTGGAGCTGTTTTTCACAGAAGATCTGTATGCATTGATTGTGGATCAAAGCAATTTATATGCACAATAATTTATCACCATCAACCCAAATTCAAACCTTGCCAGACCATTTGCATGGAAACCTATTACAATTTCCGAATTTAAAGTTTTTTTTGTGCCTAACCCTCAACATGGTTATTACAAAAAAAAAATGAATTGCGGTTGTATTGGTTCACAGACCCGATTCATTGTATGCCCATGTTCTCTGCTGCCATGGCCAGGCATAGATAAAGGAATATAATGCGATTTATGCATTTCAGTGGCCATACACTGTTGTCCTCGGGGTAACCCTGAACTCCTCAGCATTCGACTCCTCGTAAATCACCTTAACCACTTGAGCCCCAGAGGATTTACCCCCCTTAGTGACCAGGCCTTTTTTTGCTGTTTGGCGCTGCACTAATTCAAATGATAATTGCGCGGTCATGCAATGCTGTACCCAAACAAAATTTACGTCCTTTTTTTCACACAAATAGAGCTTTCTTTTGGTGGTATTTTATCACCTGTGCGCTTTTTATTTTTTGCGCTATAAACAAAAAAAAAAAAACAAAAAATTTTGAAAAAAAACAATATTTTCTACTTTCAGCTATAAAAAATATATCGTAAACTCAAAGTTAGTCATAAATTTAAGCCAAAATGTATTCTGCTACATGTTTTTGGTAAAAAAATCCCGTGCATTAGCGGGCAAACTGGCGCTATCTAGGAGGGGCGCTAACACTATCGGAAGTCACCAGTGACACTAATACAGTGATCAGTAAAAATCTGCTCACTGTAATCAATGACACTGGTGACAGGGCAGTGAAGGGGTTAACTGGGGGGGGGGGGGGCGATCAAGGGGTTAAATGGGATTTCTGGTGCACTAGCGGGCAAACTGGCGCTATCTGGGAGGGGCGCTAACACTATCGGAAGTCGCCAGCGACACTGATACAGTGATCAGTAAAAAATCTGTTCACTGTAATCAATGACACTGGTGACAGGGCAGTGAAGGGGTTAACTGGGGGGGGGGAGGGGGGGGGGCGATCAATCTGGTGCACTAGCGGGGGCGCTAACGCTAACACTATCGGAAGTCGCCAGCGACACTGATACAGTGATCAGTAAAAATTCGGTTCACTGATCAGTGACACTGGTGACAGGGCAGTGAAGGGGTTAACTGGGGGGGGGGGGCGATCAAGGGGTTAAACGATATTACTGGTGTACTGGCGGGCAAACTGGCGCTATCTGGGAGGGGCGCTAACTCTATCGGAAGTCGCCAGCGACACTGATACAGTGATCGGTAAAAATTGGTTCACTGATCAGTGACACTGGGGACAGGGCAGTGAAGGGGTTAACTGGGGGGGGGGCGATCAAGGGGTTAAACGGGATTACTGGTGTACTGGCGGGCAATCTGGCGCTATCAGGGAGGGGCGCTAACACTATCGGAAGTCGCCAGCGACACT